AACGAGCCCCTATTCGTCCCATTTGGTGCAGTAATTGTTGAGATGTGGCCATTGACAGGTGCTGTCAAGACCATGTGAGACTCTACTCCGTGCTGAACCATCCAGGCATGGGATTGCCATTCTGGGAAATGCTCCGGGGGTGAAGAAGCAAGGTAGAGCATCACTATCGGGTGGGAAAATGGCTGGGTTGTATGTGTAGGTATGGAGATCTGGAGAGGGGGTGAAATTGGCGGCGTGGTTGGGCGTGGGAATTTTGCTTGGGGTTGTCGGGAATGATGGGGAAAATAGGGAAAAATATGGAGTGAGTGTATGGAGTGTTGGATAGTGATATAATGAGTATCGGGAGCGTCAGCGGATATGTACTGCGTGTTGGTGACCAAATTCCGCAGAATCCGACTTTTTGCGGTACACTGAGTTGTCCCCACAACAACGTCCCTTCGGCAGGGCTTGCTCTGCTTGGTCAATGTCGATCTCTTCGATCTCATCGACTGTAACTGGCGGATTGGCGGGTAGCTCCTCTCGTGGCGCTGGCTCGGGCTCTGGTTCGGGTTCTGGCACCGGCTCGATTGGTATCTGGGCCGTTGACTCGGCCTCATCACCAAGTGAATCGCTGTCAACTTCGCTCGGCGTTCGTTGCCAGCGGTATCAACGGCGTTTCACCGGCGTTGAGGACCGTAAGCCTGCCCGGTCTGCCGTGAAGCTCTCGAAAATCGGTTCGTCTGACTCTTCCCTATCAAATAATACGCGCGAGGTGTACTGCGTGTGTCATATCCATACAATCCCGACCTCCGCTCCGGGCTCCCGGAACTCCGAACTCCGACTTCCGGAGCCCTACTTCCCTTCCGTCACCTTCTCCTTGCCGACTCCCAAGAGGTTATCCCACCTTCGGCTCGGACACCACCTCCGGTCCGACTCCGGAACACTCCGGGTCCAACCCCAACCTCGACACCTTCCAGACAAGTACGCAAAACCTATGCTCCCGACTCCGGACCTCCGCTCCGGAATCCTGTTCGCGTCTCTGTCTCCGGAACCTCCGGTCTTAGCTCCAACCTCGGACTTTGACCCCACCTCCGCTTATACCCATTGTATTGGTTAGCTCATTCCATTTAATTATGTTTGCCAATATTCCGGAGTTTAACTTCCGAGTTTCCGGACTTATGTCGGACCTTGCAACTATTGCATTGTCCTATTCAGTTCCGCTATTCTCCCTCATTCCTATTTGGGCTGCTGCTTCCTTTCTATTCAGTCAGCTAGCCATTCCCCACTCCCAACCTCCTTCCTTCCTCCTTGGGCCTTGGCCCTTCATTCCTCCTTTGAGAAACACCATTGAGTCAAAACCCTTGACCCTCGGTGTTGTTCCTCTTTCCAGCTCCCTTTGTCTCCTTTCGGAGTACCCTCGCTCCTTTTGATTCCGGACCCCTCCTTATATACAATGTACATAGTAACTTGTAACCTCAGTCTGAAATCGACATGAATTCCCCCAAGAGACTTTCCCTCTGCTAGATCCAAAATTAAGGACCCCTAGGACAACCAGCAATGGCACAGCGCTCCGCCTGAGTCGCTGAGGCCAAGGTCCTTCCATGCTAAGTCTCCGATTCCACTCCGGAGTCGTCCGAATCCACACGTTCTAACAGCGTGTATGGTGATGCGGAAGTACCAGCCACTGGTTGGTGGGTCTGAGAACAGGTTCTGGGTTTGTGAGACATCGTTTAACGTCAAGAGTGAGGGGAGTTCGAAAATACTGTCAGGGTGTGGGAAAACATTACCATGACTCGCCGTCGGCAACCGTTAAGGTCTGCTGCTTCGGCGTAACAGCCCGTCAAGGGTGGGGATGACAATCCCGGCGGAACAGGGTTTCAGCTTCAACGACTTGTTCATGAGTTGCGCCTTGTACTTGACGTGGCCCCAATATTTCAGGAGGCAGGAGGTGCGACTGGGTCAGACAGAAGGTGCAGGGGGTAACCCTAGTTGATTTTCGAACTACAGTACGAGGTAGTGTACAACCAGTATTTAGGTATAACGGAATGAATGGAATTAAGTCGCCAGATCTCATGGAGATTGTGGGTGGGGTTAAGAAGAAACGAAAACAAACAAAGAGTGTGGGAGAAGGATGGCCATGTACAGCCATCAAGAAAAACAAGTGTGATAAAGAAAGACTAGTAGGCCTGTGACGGGCCGTGGAAACAGGTAGTGGTGACGGGGAAGGGTGACGGGCTTGTTCAGGCGGCGTTGTAAGCGGGCTAGGGATCTAACCCACTAGGAAAACAGGAAAGGACGGGGACCGGATTGGTATCCAACAGGTCAGGGAAAAGGGGTAATGGTGATATGGTATGGTCCGGTGTGGTACGGTGCGTGGTGTACTCCAGTCAATCTCTCACCCCACCTCTCTGGGTGACACTAAGGCAAGGACTGATATAGAGGTCTTCTTACTGATGTTCTTCGTCGTAATACTCCCTACTAGCTTGGGAGGGGCAAACTCGGTGGTTTCCAGTCCAAGGGGAAAAGTAGATACATCCTCATGTACAGGTATATATGAGAAATGATCAAATAAAAATGAAGGAAAATATCCGATGAGTCCCATGTGCTTAGGTGGATCATATCGGCAACAAACAATATCGGAAAAAGGAAGGGAAAACAATAATCAAGAAAACAATAAAGCAATAAATGATTTCCAGCCAAAAAAATACCCAACTCTATCCATCGCCAATGAACTCCCGCTAATCATGGATCCTAATACTCCTAAATGACGCGTTTCCAACGGTACTAATATCGTCCAAATCGGTGCAGTGGTTGCTGAGATAAGTGAAATCCAGTCTGAGTGTGGCCGCGCTGCTGGGTGGGCGTGGGAATTTGGTCTGTGAGGACTGGGAATGTGTTTGGAAAAATGGGAAAAAATCATGGAAGAGTAGGAATGGTATATGAGGACGTGTGTGATGTGTTTCGTGAAGTGGGGATGTGCAGGGATGGGGAAATCGCGATATTCGGTTCGTTTGTGCAGTACCAGCTGTGCCCGCCTACAGCGTTGGGCGGGCAGCGGGGTTGACAGGGTCGAAGCAGGGGAGGGAGAAGGTGTGGGGAGTGATCACCTGACCGTGGGAATTGCCAGGTCGTGACACTCAGCTAAACCCATGTGTGTGTACAACTCTCAACATGTCCTATATATCGAGTCTTCTGGTGGTTCTCACCATGAGAACTCGAAGTCATGAGTTGAAGCCTTTCAACTTGTGTATCATCCATTGGAACCCATGTCCTACAGGACATTGTCACCCAGCTCTCCCTCCAGCACTCGATGGATGATGTCATACTATGATATTCAGGATTGTGACTGCTCTGAGGTTCATATTCCCATGATGCTGGCATGCTTGTTACACAAGCGCCAAGTAGCTACCCATCAACCATCTAGTTTCTCCCTTGCCAGCTGTTGCACCTCACCACCATCAGTATGTTCCCTTTGGGAACGCCAAGTCACCAAAGGCCCCACTAGTCACTCCTTACTGGACACTCATGATAATAACCCACTACTGGTATGTTCATGGTACACTCCACTGAGGAGTGCCAAGTACCTGTGGCTGACCTATCTATCCTGGCATCTCCGACTACATGCAATCAAACCCTTAATAGCTCATTCCATCATGAATCACAATCGATGAGGATTTGATCATCTACTCTTATACACAACTGGGATCACCCATTGATTACACATTCTGTTAAGGTACAAATAAGATCTCACAATCATCTTCCAACTATAAGAATGGGTCAAGAGGGGAGAAGTTCTCCCCATCCTTGTAACAACCTCAACTGCTGAACCAAATACGTCACTCGTAACATTCTTTGAATTGTGTTGACTAGGGCTTTCCAACAATACCAAATTTGTCCAGATTGGTGGAGAATTGATGGATATATGGAGGAAATGGTGGAATACATGGGTGAAAGTTGCCCAATTTGGAAACTGATGGATGTGTGTGGTCAGGAAGGGCTTGGAAAAATCAGAAAAAAAAAACATGTGCTTTCAGCCATTCTACTTGCTTCTCTTGCATTATTCACACTTCTATGGCTCCCCAGACTCTCAGTCACACACCCTCTGGACTTTTCTCACACATTCCTCATGCCTGTTAGAGAGTAGCAGTTGTGGACGATTCAGGAGTGGAATTGGAGACTTAGCAATCAAGGGGAGCGCTGTGCCATTGCTGTTTGTCCTGTTGGTCCTTAATTTCAGACATAGCAAGGAGGAAGTCTCTAGGGGCCATTAATTAACTCTATTCAATGTTAGACTGAGGGGCAATGAGTATGAAGCATGAGAAAACAAAGGTGTCCAAATGGAGACAATGGGAAATATGGATGCAGGGCTACACCAAGGGTCAATGGTTGGACTCTATGGTGTATCCAAAAGGAGGTAAGGAGGGCAAGGCCCAGAGGGGCAGGAGGATGAGGGGAAGTGGGGTTGATGACTAACTGGCTCCATGGAAAGAAGCAGTAGTCCAAATAGGGGTGAGGGAGAAGTGCAAACTATACACTACAGATGGCGAAGGTGCTGAGGTAGGTCTGTGAGTGTTATAAAAATGGGGCCAATTGGCCCATTTCTATAGCATTCAGGTGCAGGAGGGGGCCATGACATTGAGAAGGTGTTACAGTTAATGTAACAGATTGACAAGCACACATGAGGAGGGCAGTGTCCCTGGACCTTTCCCCAGAAGGAGGCTGGAGGTAGAGAACCAGCAGAGGGACTGTGGCCTCAGTGACTTGGAGAGGAGTGCTGTGCCTGTCATATCAGTGCATACCCAATCCCAACCCGACTCCCGGACCTCCATCTTCACCACCTCCAGAGTCCTACCCTACCACTGTCTGTTCTGATATTCACCTTCAGTCCTGACACCACACCTGACACCACACCTCCTCTCACCCCTCATGCCACCTCCACTCCTCTGTCCTTCTCCTGCCCTATCTCCATCTGCTCCGATACTCACCTCGGACTGAACACCACTCCTCTCGCCACCCTCCTCCTACTCCTCCCACTCCTCCTCTTCCTCCTCACAACACCTCCACCCTTCTGTCACTCTCCTACCCTTCTCCCATCCACTCCGATACTCACCTTCAGACCTGGCCTGGGGGTCTGAATGTTCTAGGTTTGCAAGCAGGTAGTGTGTCGATGCACGCCACAGATTGATGCAAGGAAATGGTCCGTTCACGATTGTATCATGGCACTTGAGTAACAACTTGAGGCGTAGTTGCCATTGATATTTATAAAGAGCTGGAATCAATGTTAGTGTATTGGTGATTTGTGGGAATTGTAGGACATACGATGAATATCGTCTGTGGTCTGAATCATGGAGTCTACCGACTGGACGATCCAGGTGCACGCGTTGAGTTCCTCTCGAGCGAGCCTAAGCTTTTCTTCCTCAATACGAGCAAGCGACAGCACTGCTACTATGCCATGGCAAACCTGCTGATTGACGATAAAGGCAGGTGGTTTCTCATCCAGGTTCCAGTTGGAAACCCACAGGCTCTCCCACATGTTTGTCCACTGCTCATCACTGGGATCCATGTTAAGCAGTATTTTGACGTCCATTTTGGTGTGCTTCAAAGAATCCGGGAGCCAGGAGGGCCTATCGGAACGCTTGAGGCTGTCAACAAGCTCGTTATATCACGCGACCTGGTCAGAAATAACATGGGCACGGTCTTTTGCGCTATTGAACACTGAGACCATCTTCGAGTAGCCTATAAGTACCAGATAAGCCTTCAAGCACATCACCATTCACCTCAAACGGGGTTGTGCTTACCAACTTTTGTAACGAGTTGTCCTCCACACTGTTGCGAGCTTTGAATAGGGTTCATCTTGTCCTGGTACTTGGCTAAGCGGATAAGGATGGCATGTTTGTGGAATTGGGCCAGGATGTACTTCTCCATATAGTCCCTTTCTGTGCTAGACGGATTTCGGAGAGGTTTCAAATCGGACAGGCCAATTTGAGCTGTCAGATCTCGTAGGCGTTGTTGAGATTCATTGTGCAACAACCGTACATGCTGAGCGGCTTGGAAATGTTTGTCAAGATTGATAGGGCTGTGGGACAGTGTTCGCGCCAAGCTGATTCGGTCCAACTCCTTCTTTACAGCATCCAATGCTTCCGAATGTGCTTGTGCTGACCATTCGGCTTCGAGAAGTCTTGCAAACTTTTTCATTCCAGCTTGGTCATTGTCTAGACCATAACCAGCATAGGTCAATGGTGAACATGGGATTGGAAACAGACATACAAGTTCGAACAGAGAGCTGCAAAGTCTTTTGCTCTTCCCACTGGGATCAAAGGAAAGGAGTTGTGAATCCCCTGTCACTCTCCAAATCTTTAAGAAGATCCATCAGAAGCACCTCCTCACGGAGAATGGCGGCCAGTTTGGACCTCGCCAATGAAGCAAGACGGTCTTGGCCACAGATCGCAATCTTCTTGATTTTGTGGTCAATAGTTGTGATTCGTTTAGCTGGCTATAGTTTGGGGAGAACCTTGGATAAGATAGGGTTGTCGAACAAACAGTGTTTGGCCTGGTGAGACTCACACTCATTATGCGTTCAGGCGCTATTGTATCAACAATTAAGGACCATAGCCGCTCATTTCCTTCCCCGTTTAACTTTCTGAACCCATTTCATTTCCAGGGGTGAAATGCAATTTGACAACAGAATTGATGTGCATAGGCATGGAAGACTGAAACAGCAATGCTCAATCTAGGAGTGATTTCGGGAATGAGATTGTACTTTGTTTGTATATCAAGAGGTTGTACCTGAATGCTACGCAAAGTCATACCTTGGCAATTGATCGATCGAGAACACATCCAACATCATACATTAATCCAATGGTGGCATTTGAGGGTAGTTGGCAGTTGAGTGCAAGGAGCATGGCAATTGAAAAGTGCTGCTGTTCACCTGGAGTGTGTACATCACAGAGGAAAAGGGGGATATCATGATGGCATACAGTTGCCATCAGACCCTTCGAACGGAATGTATCTGTTTTCGAGGCAGTCCGTTTTCCATGTTTTGTGGCTCTGTGTGATTCTTCACATTCATCAATAGCACCATCCGGTACAAGGGATGAGGGACGAGATTCTTCCGAACAACCTCTAGATGCAGCTCATGCATCAGAGACATGGAGGGCAGCTTCCTCAATTTCGGCATCGGTGAGGAATGTACAGGTTTCATTCCAGGGAAGGACCATGTCTCCTCCAACGAACATGTACTGCCTATGTTGCATATTACCATCCATAGCGACGATGACATCAGGACATCTAGGGAAACACTTAGTATACCTGTTCTCGGAGGACATCCATGAGAAGACTAACTCGTTGGCTGAACTACCCCATATCAAACCTCCAAAACATTGGGGGCATCTCACACGGAGGTATGGGCTGGCAGTGGTGTCAGATGGGTTGCGAATGAGCCTTGCTCGCTCAGGGACCATTGATGGAAGGTCCTGTGACGTCTTTGTGAAGGTTGGGATGCCATAGTCAACAGATACCATGCCATGGGACGTAGCAACCAAAGGATCTCCATTGTGAGCAGGAACGGTGTGGATGGACCTGGCAGACTTGGCCAGCGTGGAACGCCATAGTGGTGCATCGGGCACCGCAGGGGATGAGGGATGGAGGAATTCTCTCTCCATTTCAACGTCTACTAAATCACGTAAGGCCTGGAACCAAGTGATCACCTCACTAAACGACTGGAGAAAAGGGTCCTATATGAATGCCAGATCATGAATGTGCCAATTACTGACAAATAACAAATGAATCTCACGTTGTGGGTGAACTCATAGCCATTCTCTTGTAACATGGAAAACAAAGCGGCATGAAAGGAGGCAGCTGGGGTATACGAGTCCACATGTAAGGCTGAATACAGCGAAAGGACATCGAAATGGAAGGCAACTTGAGGCATTACAGGTGACCCCGGAAAGTAGCCAGACTGGATGATGCTAAGTGGGAGAGTATTAGACGGACATTCACAATATTTGAACGTCCGCCGCATGGCACCTATTGTTTGTTGAGCCAGATCAGAATGGAAACATACCTGAGAACGCGATCATCATGAGCAAATGAAACCAGGGAGATGCATTGCAGTGAGAGCACAGCGATACTGCCGGTGTTTGTAGCTTTCCATTTCTGTCAAATGACGTCTCGCTGGGGGTGGCAAGGGGTATGCATCCTGCCTTCTTTGCCTCTACTTCTAGATAGATTTCCAGTGTGTTGTGTATTATATCGCGGCGCCAATGGAGCCATGCAGCTTGCTTTTGCGGATTTCATAATGCTCTCTTGGCCCATTTTTGGGAAGCTGACCGCGAAGGTGTAGGGGGCAAGGCAGAGTCTGGGTTTGAAAGAGCGGGTTCTGCGATACCTTCCAGCCAACCTTGAGGTGATGCCTCCCATTTCGGTGATTCCTTTTTTAGAGCCGGCATTGAAGGGGGAGTCGAAACATTGCTGGCATCTGTTGATATTGCATTTCCTACATGATCGTGGCGATTTGGCACTGGCCACCAATCTCTAGATGCGATTCCAGGCCCCCAGCGTTGGGTCATCACGGTGCCGCTGGCGTTTGCTATCTCGACGCATTGCGATGGCTGGGGAATGGGGACTTCATCGGTTGGAACGCGCTCATGTCCTTTCTTTTTGGACGTTGAGGGTTTGGATTCAGGTGCAGACTGGCCACCAAGGAGATCCACATATTTTTTGGGTTTGCTTAAATTATATGGGTGATACTTTTTTACAGGAGAGGTAGTAAGGCGAGGAATTACAGGCTTATGCCTCAGCATGGTATGTAGCCGTTAAGAGATAGGGTGAACGGAAAAGAACAGGACAGGCTCTTCTCAACAAGTATGCAGCAGTTGCGCAGCTAGTCTAAGATATACTCAGTCAGCTGCACATTCAGTCAGTGTGTGTAGCTGTGGCGCATACCAATAGGCAAACAGGGCAATTGGTGGGCAGTGGAGCAGTGGTATGGCGCTGGAACTATCAAATATGCAGTGGGGCACACATCGGTTGGATGGGAGCCCCAGTTGAATTGTACTGTTTCTCTCAGCACTTGGGCGCCGGATGGGGTGCGCGTAGTATCCAGATGAAATGCGAATACGGGCTCGCTAAGACGGACTGGATAAAGGGTGGCACGCAACACGGGGTAGAGGGTGGCAAGGAATTTAATGAGATTGTGTCAGGGACAGCTCCGAAAGCGGCGAGGTCCCGGTGTGCGGGACTCGGTGGGGTGAATAGCGGCTGTGCATAGTGGCGATCCCGTCGCGGGGTGAGCATCCCTGACCACTTAGTCTGAAGTGGAAATGTGAGAAGAAGACTACTTCTTTGGTTCCCACTCCAGCTGTTATTATATACATGCGGGATCGATCATGTGGGGTGTGCCACGTCACCCTCGCACACAGCCATGGCTCTCCGGGTGCCTCCGTGGGAGATCCCAAGAGGGCCTGCTGTGGGTGCAGGGCAAGTGCGGCGGCAGTGGTGGCGATGTAGGGGTGGTAAGATACAGGAGGGGAAATGGGCATGCGCGCTGGTGATACATTGAGCAGCGGGAAAGGTGGTCCATGTAAGAGAAAGAAAGAAAGAAAGAAAGAAAGAAAGAGAGGGAGAGGGAGAGGAGGGGGGAGCGGTGCAGAGCGGGGAAGCGGAGCAGGGATTGGGTGGGGCGTGTCAGGGGATGCCCTGACAGATTGTTAGCCCTCAATGACGGGGAGAGAGGGGCATAGCGTTGGAACTACTCTTATAAAGGTATTTGCTACGGGGTATGGAGTACATGGGGTAGGCCGGTGGCAAGTGCACGGTGTTCTTGTCTAATTGCACCGCCGTTTCTCAAGTCGCTCAAGCACAGGGTTTCAGGCATGTGGTGCACAAGTGTTGAATGTGAATACGAGTCCACTAACATGGATTGGATGGCACAATTGGTGGGTGCAGAAGGTCGAGGGTGGCAGAAGGGTAAGGTTGAGGTTCGTGTCTGATCGCACCGTTTGGCACATCATGTAAGCACCGCTTGGTGTGCGAGTGATGTCCAGAAAGCCAAACCTGAGTACGAGACCATGAATAAGGATTGGGCGAATCAACAGTACACAATCCAGGGCAGGGACAATGTCCACTGAGTGGGATTGTTAGTGCCGTTTGATGTTAAAAGACGATGCGCAAAACGTTTGCTGCGGTGCCAGGAATGCCTAACCACAGGCAGTGAGACTTGCGGGCCCGTACACGAGTAACACTGAACTAGAAGTTTGGATATCGCGCATGATGTAATGCACCGTTTGGGTAGAAGAGCTGATTGGGGGGGGTATGAATGTCGAGTGTACTACGCAGGATTAGAACGGGAGGTTGGCGTTGCAGGGGGTGGGCAAGAAGACCAAGATGACCATGAGTGCCAGTGGTGTTGAATACAACCTCTGGCCCTCGTCAGTCAAATATCTTCACGGTAACCATGATTCACTAGCGATGCACGGAGCACCTCTAGGCGTCTGCGGTTAAAGATGAAGAGAAGAGCCCTCAATGATATCTAGAAAGTTTTTGTTAGCTGGAACGCCGAGAGCAAACAGGGAGAACACTTACCGGAAATGGAGTTTTCTATGAGCGCAGAGATGGCCGACAGGGCTGGAAAGGATTGTGCATGGCAACCCTGAGCTGTGGAATGGAGTACAACGTTTACATGGCACGATGTCAAAGCTGGGTGGGATCGATAGATTTTGGGTGCTTACCGGGACGCGTGGACGTAGAGCCGCAATCAGAGGTTCAACTCGTACCTATATGGCTGTAGTAATAAAGGATCGTGTGTGGCAACCTTGAGCTGTGGAACGGTGGATGGTAAAGCTGGGTGGGATCGACAGATTTTGGGCGCTTACCGGGACGTGTGGACGTAGAGCCGCAATCAGGGGTTGAAGTCGTATCTATAGTGTAACATATGTTATACTGGCGTTAATTGACGCGCACATCACCTACAACGGCGCTAGGTGCCTCGGCTTTGGCCACGATTGTATTGGTTCCCACGGGGGTGAGTGTGGTCAAAACGGGTCAATATGTAGTGAATAAGCCGCCTCGCTTATAAACTCGTGACCAAAGCACCCTTTGCAAACACAAGTTAGGCGCTTGGTTTCTACTCATCCGGAGCAAGAGCGGAGTTTGCCCCTCGCGATGTCATCGTCCACGAGCCACTCTTACCTCGTTGCTTATCCTCATCCTAGAATTCCCCCGTTCAAATCCATTCGAAGCTTTCAGTTAAAGTCGGATGTTGTTGGGGATTTACTTCTTGAGAAACTCGTCGATGCCTACCCGCAATACTCACGCGATTTGAAGGACGTGAACACCGCCCTCTGGAAGGCAAGTCATTCACCTATAGCAAAATTCCTGCTCTAAACAGCATCCCAGGCCTCAGAACTCCCCATAAAGAATGTGGACAACGAGTCTAGAGAGCTTGTACGCAAGTGGATTAGTGAAAGAGAAAGAGAGGGCACCCTCGTTCGAGGCTATGAGTCTCTGAGTGACCATTTCCCCGGTGGTCCAGAAAAAGGAGAATTGGTTCATATCGTGGTTTTGACCCCAGAAAGTATGTACCGCTCTGCGCACCCAGGCCATTTAACTAAAGAATTGTTGTCCAGTCATCGAAGAAATTGACGAGCTAGCGGACCTAGGTCACTTGAAGCGCATGAAAGGTGGGTGTTCTCTTCATTTCGCTTTCCCGTATTTCCCATCCTCTGCAGAACGGGGGCAGCTATCGGGGGCAATGAAAATGGCCAGTTCGCCATCCGAAAGTGTCAAGAGCCCCGGTGCAATAAAAAGTGCGGTGGAGCGCTCCAGCGGACCGCGGTACGGCAGACCCTCGGACCGATTTGGAC